ATAACAAAATAACACTGAAAACTGATAAAAACCCTGAAAACCATACATTTCCCACCTGAGCCTCAACTCTCGCGGCCCGGTACCAAACGACTCACGGACTGGTCGGAGGCCCGGGGGTTGGGGACCGCTGGTCTAAATGATAGCTGTAAATAACACATTCTCATTTTTCTTCCTTTTTAGCAATGATGTCACGTGAAAATGAAGCATCACTTCTTGGGAGAAGTGTTCTGCAGTCCACATTCTCAGATAATCCCCGCTTTCGACCAGATTTAGATATTTCGGTTATCAAAGGTAAACTGAATAAAAATGCTGAACATTTTTTATGGTTTGGACTGTCCTGTAACTTTGTTTTATGTTTGTCTCCTAAGATCGAACAGTCATTGAAAATGCAGTAGAACCTGAAAGAAATGCAGAGAATGAAAAGATGATGGTTGAGATGGAAACATTTCTTCTGGCCTACCTCACAGCTAAGGTTAGTTGATGTAATAGATCTGATAATAGTTCAGTTAGTGTACAGTAAGATATTAAGTAAAAACATAGTCATCTATTTTATTATTTTGGTGACTTCTGCATTGAGAAATATTATGCTTACAATTTTTTACTTAAGATGGAGAGCAATACAGCAAAACTCAAGGCTGAGGCAGAAACAAAGATTCTGCAGGCAATGGAGGAAGAGCAGTCATTGCATGATGAGGTTAAGGAGAAGAAATGTCAGTACCTCCTCGCAGAAAAGAAACGGCTGGTGAATGAACTGCTGGATTTGCAGGTCTGGAATAATAAATGGTGTTTTCCTTTTTTAACATGCGTTTTAATTAATACTGTTGTGTTCTGTTGTGGCACTGCTTACAACACTTGTAAGCAGATCAAGCTTGGTTCTCTAAAATCTGCTGGTAGATGTCTGTGTTGATTTTGGACATGAAAAGTGATCTGGACCTGGATTCTGTGACACTGGCCTTCATTCACTCCTTGGGAATCTCTCACATGTCCTTGAATCAACTTTTCTTGACAATCCTCTCAGGGCTGTGCAGCTTTTCCTACCACATTTTTTTCCCTATTTGTTGATAAGATAACAAATAGGAAAGATTGGGGAAACCTGCAGCTGAGACTGAAGAGAGGTCCTATTTGTTGACTTCCTATTAATATGCTTTAGTACAGCACTCTGTGAGCATTCAGCCTTTGCTGTCCTCGTAGAGGGTGTCGATCATTGTCACCTGAGCTGTGTCCCAATTCAGGGGCTGCATCCTTTGCGGTCTACGTGGGCCAGGTCCTTCAAAGACCGAGAAGTGTGAGGCTGTGAAATGGGACGGTCTAGCCTTCAGATTTGCGTCACTGTCTCAGAGGAGTTTAATAAACGCAGCTGTCTGCTCCTGGCTTATCTAAAGGAGTAATATTTCAAACTCTTTAGCCACTCTCCTCTGCCATTGCTGTGCTTGAAAAGTATTTTATATTATTATAAAAAATATTATAAATAATAATTTAATTAAGTATTTGAAAAGAGTAAGAAGAAAAATCTTACAACCAAGTAGCTGC